TGGTAAAATTGAGCCAACTTAAAGACATATTCGATTTAAGATGGGAGATCAGTCCGAGTTTTAAAATGCCTTTAAGTAAATATTAAAGTCTGCCTGCTTGAAAGCACATTGTGTTTTCATGTAGGAATCCTACTATGTATTTCCTTCCCCCAAAAAATTTTTGAATAGTTACTACGTGCACATAGTGCAGAATTCTAAAGGAGAGTGGAAAGTTAGTGTCCCTTCTGCTGTGTTCCTTGATACAGTTTCCTCCCTGAAGGGAAACCATTCTCATCATGGTTATCTTTCTTATATCGTTACAGAAATATTTCATATATTTTCAAATCTATGTAAATTATTTCCCTTTTTTCTTTCTTCACTCACATGGTGTGATACTAACACACTGTCCTGTGGCCTCCTTCCTTCACTAAACAGTATTTTGAAGATACAGAGCTTCTCTCCTTTAAATGGATACATAGAATCCATTATGTACTTGTGCCATATTTTATTCAGCTGATTCCCTACCAATGGACAGTTAGCTTGTTTATACTTGTTTCTTACAGCGTAGTGCCACAATGAATAATTTTGCGCATATATCATTGTGTATAAGGGAATAGCTATTCTGTAAATTTCTATAAATGGAATTTTCTGTCAAGAGGTGTATGCCTTTTTAAGTTCATGAAATCACTAGTATTTAGGAATTGCCATAGATTTATAAATAGCTAATAGGCTCATTTTCAAGCAATGTTTTCTCCCAGCAATTGTGTTTATACTACATTACAAATTATTTGTAGTTAACTTCATTTGAGTTTATATGGAATTATATCCATATATATCCTGGATTGTTGGAGAATTTTACTTTAAATAAGCAAACCATAATGATTTTCACAGTTTATTGCGTTCTTGGCATGCACAGCTGGCATTTGAGCCCATGTCTGACTCTAGACTTGAACTCAACCACTAAAAGAAGCTATGGGACTTCAGTAATCGATTTTCATAGATACTTCTTTGGATAAATTATACTTTATCAAAATGGTGCTGATACTCTGCTATAATCTGGACCAATCAGTTTCTCATTTTGGGAAGAGAAGTAGAGTATAAATCATAAATGTATAAAACTTATTTACATATCCCTATAGGAAGAAAAAATCAGGAAAACTAGGCTTAAGATTTTTCTAGTTTTTAGACAAATTCAAGATTAGAAAAGAAAATGGCTCTTTAATTCTGCTTAGTTCTACTCTTACTTAAATGTTAAGAAAAAGAAAAGAGTGTAGATAAAGGGTTTCCATTATTAGAAGGGCTGAAATAATATTTGAAAATAGTTTCAAAGAAAACCATGAGCAGTATAATTCTAAATACTGTGAAAATAATTCTACCACATGGCTTCCATAAACGGAAAAGAGCAGCAGTTCACTCTATAGGTATTATGTATCACAAAACCTCCATGGGTAGGGTCAAAGGGGTCAGCAGCCAGTGGCTTTAGCTCTAATTTTCTATATTTAACAGCAAACCAGCAGGTGTGATTCCTGCTGAGCTAGTGTGAAGCTTCCAACAGCCTAATTGAAGGGTGACATTGGCTTTAAATGCCCTGAACACTTGGGGCAGCTGCCAAGGCCCCCTGGATCTCCCCTTGGCTGTGCTTTCCCTACAACCTGTCATTCATGGGATCAGTACCTTTGGAGAATGGTGGGATTGTAACCAAGCGCCTCTTGGCATACTGGAAGTGTGCTGCTGCTTTCTATTCTACCTGGTGATAAGGGGACAGGCAGGCACCAGCAGGCCAGCCTGCTAGCCTGTCAGCACACTCACGTCTGCACTGCTGAAGCTTATTTTGGCATGATTAGAACAGCCGGTGCCAAACTGACCAGCCAAGCACATGCTCTGGGGCATAAGATAGACTTTAAATGTATACTTAGAAAAAACAGTTCAAAATCAGGAAAATACTCAGACTAAGGCCTAGATTAAGAAACTATTTTGGAACCATTAGTTTCATTTTTTATGTTACCATTAAGTGATGGGATTTGGTGGTAGTGGTGGCGGTAGTGAGATTGGGGGTGGTGATGGTGGTGAGGATGGTAGTGGTGATGGTGGTGGTGGGGTGTGTGTGTGTCTGTCTGTTTTCAAAGCTTCCCAGATGAAATGTTCTATCCCTCCCTGATGTGCCCTAAGAAGGATACTCACTTCTGAACAGGCACAGTACCCAAATTATAAGACCCACTGGGTAGGATGCAGGATTCAGAGGTTAGGGTTAGGGAGGGGAGTTGGAGTCTCCTTGAGGTCATCGTAAGAGTCTGAGAGGAACTAAAACCCCAGTGTGCTCTAAATTGGCCTGTGCCTCTCCATCAGTCCCAGGGATGACGTAAGACTGTTAAGATTCCCCGTTTTATCACTAAAAGTGTTGTTAGTAGCAATTTGAATCAAAGTAATGCTGAAAGATCATGTCATTTTCCATCCTTATTGTGTACGTAAAGAAACAGGATTGGAGAGTTTAAAAAAATTTTTTTTTTCTTCACCCACTCCACAAAGATTTCATCTAAGATCCCAGAATGCTTTCCGTACAGGTCGGGTCTCAGACCTAGGGCTTTCTTCTCCGCAGGTGCATCGCTTAGGTTCTGTTATCGACGAAGCCACGTGAGGATTATGAAGAAGGGAGACGAGTTTCCTGGCATCAAGGAAAAACCTGGCGGTGTGCCTTGGTCCCACTCAACTTTCCCGGATGGGTTGGGCACAGACACAGTGCCAAACCTTTTGTCTGTAATGGGGTCCCTGTTGGACAGGTGCTGCTGCATGTCCTGGTTCTAAAACACTACACACACAATGCTCGAATGCAAATGTGGCTGCAAGAGGAACATTCTATGAGGGGGTAGTTACTGTGAAAAGGAGTAGGAAGTTAGAGGAAACTCTGGAGTGCCACCTCGCACACACCCGTTTTAGTTAAAATGTGACTTACACACTAGACAAAGCTGTTTGGCAACCCCTATAAGGCTGATTTCTTTCTGCTGTAGAAGAGATGTCCTATCGTGGGGTCATGCTTTTCCAAATGTGCCTCAAAGTCAAGCCATTCATTGAAAAGACTCACTCAGACCTTCGTTTCTTTACCTCCCAGCCTCCCTGCCTCCCCACCGCTCGTGTGTCTCTGAAGGTGAGCTTGCTGACACGTACCCAGAGGAGCTTTCGGTGCAGTCTATTTCAGTCCAATGCTTCACAGT